CCAACCTAGTGATTCTATGATCTACTGATTCTGGACTGCTCGACATTTAATTTAATGGGGATTTTGTTAAGTATAGAAGCCCTTTCAAATGAGTAATCCGGTTCTGGGCTAGATGTAGGACTGGAAAACATGCATCTAGTAGGGAGCACTAACTTTGGCAGGAATGATGTATGATACGAAAAAACTGAGGCTTCCTCCTCTCACTGTAATTCCCATGGGCTGGTTCCTGAAGTCCCAGCAACCTTCACATTGGCTCTAGTGGGTTTCACTTAAGCCAGAAGGAGACATAAACTATTACGTCTTTGGGAAGAAAACTGAGGGTAGGATCCCAAACCTCTTTTTACAGGATGAGCCTTGCCCACTCTGGGCTGGTCCCAGTGTGGGAAGAAGGAAGTCACCAATGATGGACAATCCATGGTGGTGGTTTAGTTTCAGTCAGGAGGAAACTTCCTCAGAAAACGTTTGTTCTCACTGCCCTTGTTTTGATGCACGCCATGAAGAGGTCTTGCGGTACCCAGACTGAATTGCTTTCAGAAAGAGAGATAGGCGGAGCAGAGCTGCCCTTGCGTGAGTGAATAGGGACTCACAAACAGTTACCCATGTCTATACAAGTGAGCTCAATCTGTGGGCAAAGTAGGATGGTGAATTTATGAGAAATGGTAGAAAAGAGACATTAAATAAAGTTTTTAGTCCAGCACAATATGGTGTGCTTGGCTGTACCTCAGATTAACTTTCTTTTTTCTTCATCTAGGTGAACTTGCTTTCCTTAAGCTGTTTTTGTTGGCTTCATGGACTTTTTTGACTGCAGGCTATAATAGTAAACACAAACAACCCTTTGTGCAGGTTATGCTTTTGCACTTTAAATAATCAAGGCTGTAGCAGTCATTGCAATGCTCACTTATACCCTATTATCCACTATTGCAACTATAGCTGCAATTTGCAGCCAATTTACACAATAAGGTATTAATCAGCCACCTGTGAGTCACTGACTCCTGTGCTATCTTCTTCCCTTGCAGGCATCATCGTTGTCCACACCCTCGCTTCACACCCTATGAGGACAGCTGCCAGCTATGCAATCAGTCAGAGTACAAGGAGCAATACTCCTCACATCCCTTCACTCTTCCCAGAAGCTCATTTAAGCCAAAGGAAAAGTACAAGATGCCACAGATACCCATGGAAGGCATCTCATCTACCAAGTATGATTCTACATTGCTTTTAGAGGAATTATGTCATCTGGTGTAACTCCACTGTAGAACAGAGATAGCTTTGTGTAAGGCCATTAACCTCACTGGGGGTAGAGAAGGGGGAACCTGGCCTGCCTGAGGTTGTCCAGAGCTGCCTCAGTTCCTTTTTCAGAGTCCAGGTTTCCAAATGAGAAAGGCTTGTGTGTTTCATTAACTGCTTGTATCCTACCCAGACATTCTTAGGCTGTGGAGATAAGGGGAAGCATTAATTTCTTTGTGTGTCCAGAAAAAGGAGCATGATTTTTTCCTTAAGGTAAAAGACATAATGAATTTATTATTCACAGGAGAGATTACGTAGGTTATGAAGTATTGCCACAGAAACGTCCACCACGTAAGCATGTCAAGAGCGGTGAGCCTATGGATTTGACCTCCACTTACAAAAAAGATTATATCTCCTACGCTGTCTGTCAAGTACGTCCATGCCTCCCCCGTGTGAAAAAGCACATCCCCTGCGCCAAGATGAATACAACAACCACTTACAAAGGTATGTGTCTTTGCAGCTCCTTTCAGGACCTTGCCAGGAGCTTCATTTTTTAAGCAGACAGATCAAAACAGTGTGCAGTTGTTATTCCTCCTGCCTGTGTATACCAACAGGCTGTGCAGGAAGCTCACAGACACAGATTGTTGGGAATACGTCACCACGTTAATGGTATCATCGGGATCTCTATGAGGTGAATCCTTTGCATGTCTGACAGACTGACAGGCATCCTTGGTAAAAGCGGGGCGATGTGAACTCCTGCAAGTGTGTCCAGAAACATCATCTTTAGGATATCCTGAACATACTCTTGGTATACTGCAGGGCTGGTCTACACATTCAGTGGATCTGACTCATTTAAAATATGTAGAATTTTCTAGGCCTGAGCAGGTCATGAAGCATGGGACCCTTTTTGTGTGTGCTGCAGAGTTAATCTATCGATGTGCTGGAGGTGTGTGTGGAAATTACAGACACACACGAGTTCCACACAAACGTGCAAAGCACTCAAGCTTTACTCTTGGTAAAACACGTGAAGTGTGCATGTAACTATGTCCTTCTTTCTCAGCAGCAGTAACTTGGTGTAGGTAGTTGTTGTGTTTCAATAAGTGGTTTAGGAGCATACACTGGGAGAAAACTTTCAGTTACACAGTTACAGTAACTGCTAGTTTTGGTAGTAAGTCATATGTAGAAAATCAAAGGATTTTGCCACCCTTCTGTACGCCTTCCAGCTAGCTAACATTGCTAAGCAGATAGCCAGCACTTGCATATTCCTTAACATAATTTTTGATTATTTTGTTTTATTTTTTAAATTTTATATTAATTTTTATTATGCTGTGCAAATATAAAAGCTTATGATTGGTGCTGGCATTGAGATTTGCCCCAATGTACAGAAACAATTTTTTTCTTAGAGCTAAAAATGATAAAGGAAGTAAAGAAATAAAAGGAATGTGAATGTGGTGCTAAGATTACCCAGCTGAAATGGCTGAAAGTCAGACTTCAGTGCAGCTGAATGTTTGCAACAGCATAACCTGGAATTTTTACATTAAGCACACAGGAAATACTGTCCATTTAGACTGACTTGAGTCATGAAGACTATGACCCACAGGTGCAAAATACCCACGTTTACACAATTTTGAACACTGTTTTGCATAGGCAATGTCACCAGATGGTATTCATTGGCATAGCTTCAGTGAAGCCGATAAAACAAGGCTGCTCTGCGAAAGCAGAGGATCTTTCCTTCTGTGTTTAGGTATCCTTAACTTCTCTGTGTCTGAACCAGATGCCTATCTTTGTCTTTTATCAGTGTTCAGGTCAGCACCTTAACTGTTACTCCAGAGCTCTAGTAAGATGTATCACAGCCACATTTGGTTATAATTTGCAGTATTTTTCAAAACACTGCAAATGGAAATCTTCATCCAAACCCCCTCAAAGATCAAGTTGCAGACTGAATGAATTGTCTTTTAAAGGCCCAGGGTTAACAGGAAGTATAAGTTTTCATTGTGCTGCTCTCTAAGCATTGCTAGGTTTTACTGATCACTGCTGAAGTGTGAAGTTTTGAAACGTGCTATTCAATGAATTATAATAATTCAAATACTTAAGCAGCATATAAACCAGTGCTACATTGGCATTAAATTATCTTTCCTGCTGTATTGTCATAGTGCTTCACACTGAACACACCATATCCCAAATGACACTGTAGGTTTAGCATGATGCTATTGTGTGTCACTTTGTCAGGTGACTTTGCAACTTAAGGTTCCAAAATTCTCATCTCCAAGCTACACATGTAGCTGTTTCTATCCATCAGGAGGTATATAATCTAATTTTAGTTTTGTCTTGCTTGGTTATAGTGAGATGTGCCTTACCCTCCGATAACATATGGTTCATATCCTCCGTTCCCCCCTGTACCCCCTAATGTTTTCAAGATTGCGCTACATTAATATCTATGGGAGGGAAATTAGGGTTACAATGAAATTGTAACATATTTTGAAGGAATAGTAGCACTGCTGACTTGCACTAAGAAAAGTAAATTCGTAGTGCCTATGAGGTCTCCAAATGTGTAGAGCTTGTAAACTCTTAAAACTGAAGGCAGATGGACTTGTCGTATTTTGAATATTTTGCAAAAGCTGTGGTTATGTCCAAAATGCACACGCTATTTTCCAGCAAAGGGGATGGCAGAACCTAAACCATTTTTTTTTTGGTAACTCTTGGTTAGCATCGGAAATGCCAGATCTCTGAGCAAGCCCTTCCTTAGAGATGGGCTGAATCTCATTAGCTTCTCACTTTTTAACACTTTATTAATACATTCCCCGTAGTGGCATGTGTCTGTTTATGCTTCGTGGTTGACTCTTGCTGGACTGTCTCTCCAGGAAAATGATGTACCTTAGGCAGGGGCAGAGGGTCAGCATCCCACCAGTGTGCTGGTGCCTGGACATCTCCTATTACCACAGAGAAGCAGGGAGTACCTGGGGCATTTAAACAGCCCTGGTACTAGCAGGGCAGGCAGCCTGGGCTTCAGTGGCACCAACACTGGCAAATGCATGTCTGTGCCGGTGCAGACAGGCAGGTCTGTGTCCTCAGCTGGCTATGCTACTTAGCAGCACGAGGGCAGTTCTGTACCCAAGGGCCAGGGGCTCGCTGGAAGCCACGGCACCTGTAGCTGCTGCTTCGTCTCTTGTGCCAGGCCAGAGCAGCTTGATTTGAACCGGATGGACTTTAAATGGACACTTAATTGAGGCAAAAAGTTATTTTTTGGGTCAACTTCACATAGTAATGAACACATCCTTTGTGTAATTGTGTTTGTGCAGTACAATAGCCACTGCTGTTCAGGAGGAATAACTCTGGATTGGAGAGTTCAAATATCCTGGTACCTAATTGCATCGTTTAATCTGTAGCACTTTGAAATCCAGACTTCCTTCCTGTGCAGAGTCAGCTGGAAGCTTATTTGCCACGACTCTCAATGTGGTTTGCAGACGTGCAGAAACAAACCCTGCAACTCACAGAGGGTTATAAAGCAAGTATGTTTATTACAGCGCTGGGTGCAAGGGGGATCGCTCCACCTAACTTGCACACCTTAAAGCTTAAGCGGATTCTTTATATAATCAAAAGTGTTCCATATACATGGTTCTTGGTTACATATTCATTATATTTCTGAGAATAGGGTGGGTTATTATAGTTAGTTCTGAGAAGTCATTAGCATATGTCACGCCCTGGACTCCTCCCCTTTGCGCCTGTGTAGTTTATTCTGGTGGTCGCTTTAGGTGGTCGTTGGGATGAAGGCTGCAGGTCTTCGTCACGGTGCACTTTGCCCCCCCTGCCGTTCTTGTTGCCAAGTCCTTGTTCCCCACGCATGTGGTCAGACAAAACTGGGTTTTTACTGGATCAGTGGTTCGTACAAGGTGAGTGGTTTGTATAAGATCATGGGGCGTGTTACAGGACAGCTAGGACAGAGAGTTATGGCTTCAGAACAAAGTATTAAAGCAATACAAAAGCAGAACCAAACTAACATTGGTGGTTAACCCGTGCCTCGGCATGGCTTTAAAGCTACAGAGTTAAACTAATGTTATAACAAATTCGAACTAAACGCCAGTTTCCCATATCATTGGAAGGAGGAGGGAAAAAAAAAAAGGCTTGGGTTAGCTCCAAGACTATTTAATTTTGACTTCCTACCAGTAACCATAATGCTTTCTAGGGGAAGTTGCACAAGGTTACTAGGAAGGGAAAAAAAGATGGTCTTGTGGCTGAAGCACTGGTTGGAGAGTTAGGCAGCTTTGCAATAGACTTCTAGTGTGACAATTTAAGTCTCAGTGCCTCATTTTTTTTCTGGTATCCTGCTGAGGAAGGAAGATACGAATGTCTCTAAAATGCCACTTAAAATGTTATCTTAGTTATAATTTGGATAGAGTATGGACCATGCCTGCAATATGATTCAGTGGTTGAGATCAGTGTAGGCTTGGTCTGAAAATTCCAGCACGGTTTTTCTAATAATGAACAATTAAAGACAGCGTTAGAAGCCCCTTCTGGGTTCCTGCTTGCACTGACAGCAGGAGTACCGCAGAGAGCAAAGCTGAAGGTCGAGGCGATGCCACCCAGCACAACTTGCTGACACCAAGATGAGCTGCAAACACCTGAGCTCGAACGGTAGGCAGCACCACATCTGTGCAGTTGAGAAATCAGGTCATCCCCAAATGAGAAGGTACAAAGAGGAAAGGGTAGCTCTGTGACTTGGCCTTCAGAGTGGAATGGTGGACATTTGGTTCTCCTTGCCCCAGTGGTGCTGTGGGAGACACCTGAACATCCTTCTGCAGACACAGGCATACTCTGACTGGGCTTCGAGCCAGCCACAATAGCGCTGCAGAAGGTAAATGGAAGGGGTCGAAGTCAGTGCCATGATACTCCACTTTCAAGATTTCTGGTTGACATGAAGGACATGAGGACAGCACCCACTCAATCAACTGCATAAAACACCTCTGCAAGACTGAGAACGCAATTTAATCTCCCCACACTGTATTTTACCTTCTCTGTGAGTATGGGTAGGTACAGAACTATTTTAATTCCATTTTCTCTGTAGATGGTAAGCGTTTCCAGGGGTTAGGACACTAGTGTATAATGTGTTATACAGCAGCAATTTTAATAGGATTTGTCAATCATTACAATGTCAACAAATGTTTATTACAGTAGAAAATGTAATAAAACATAATATGGTATATACCTGAACTCACCAAAGAACTTCAGCTGAGCACTTAAGGTTCCTCTTATGTTTCAGATGACTATGTGCTGTGGAATGAACCAAAGACAGAGCTGATCAGACCAAACAACAAGCTTCCCCCATTAGAAGGAAAATTTAACCACAGAACCAATGTCCAGGATGAGTATCATTACAGGGGGCCAGTTGTCACTCAAGGCTGCAAACCTCTGAATCCTCTGCAGAAGAATAAGCCTGCCTTTGAGAATATGACCAGTTATAGAGCAAATTACGTGCTACATCCTGTGGAGAAACATCATGTCCATAAATGTGAGAAATACAAGGCAAGCAAGGGCCCATTCGATGACCTCACTACCTACAAAGATTCTTACAAGGGGCTGGCTGGTCAGCCAGCCAAGTCGGCAAAACCATGCCTGCCAAAGATTCACCATGATCTTCCATTTTCCTCTAAAAGCGAGTTTCAGGAAAACTACAAAGGTTGGTCACAGCGTCCTGTGTTCAAAAAACCTGATGTATATCATCCTCCTGTCGAGAAAATGGACCTTCACACCACTACTCAGATGCATTACAAGCAGCACCCAAAGAACAAGCCAGTCAAGATGTGTCTATCTTTGGCCCAGCTTAAAAGAAGTACTAAGCCATTCAACGCCTCTTCTGTAATGAAGGAAGACTATAAGCCTTGGCTGTGCAAGAAGCTACAACCTATCACACATCCTCCGGAGCTGACTTTCCCAGCAAAACCAATGGATTTCTCAACTACTTCTCAGACCCATTATGTGTCTCATCCACGCATAGTTACAAAGAGCTGTAAACCTGCCTTGTCAGGCCCAAAACATCACACTGTGCTAGATGCTAAAACCATCTACAATACCAGCTACACACCAAAGGCCGTTGTTAGATGCTTGGCCTCTTACAAAGACCCACCTGGTTACGTCTTTAAAGGAACTGATGCTGACGGTCACTATCTCTATGCCCCTGCTTCTAAGAGTGAACACCAGGATGGTGGACACTGAAGAAAAAGAGCAGATGCAGCCTTCTTGGAAGTGAGCGAGGCCTCAGCTACAGATGACAACTTGATTTTGTTTGTGAACTTCTTTCAAAGCAATCTATTGTTTTGTCTTTGGAGAACTCTTAAACTTATTTTGTAGTCATTGGCTTTTGCTGGATCATTTGCACAGATGGAAAACACAAAATCCAGAGAAAAGGCACACTGATCCTTGATTCTCTTCTTTTTCTTTTTTCCCCACCAAACTCTTTCTCTTTAATCAGGAGACAGAGCCTCCTCCTGCAACACTACCAGAGGGATGTCGTAGTAACACACATTATTATTATTAGTGTAACAGGGGTTCAGCTTCATCCATGATGGCAGGGTAGAACAGCCTCTTCAGATGAATACGTGTGGTGAAGCTGTGGCTGGATAACAAAGTCCAAAGCTTGGCCTCATCAGTCACTTCCATCAAAGAAAGACAGTTGCAAAAGGTACAATTACTGGGTAAGTATTAGTGAAGACCACGCCTTCGTTAATTGTGTCATCGTGCTGCCCAGGGCTAGGCTGTCAGATATGAGGTTGTCATGACGAAGATGTCACCCTAAGGCCAACAACTTGCAAGGGAGGCTTTTCAGTAAAGCTCTTTGCTACAGGATGCAGTGAGGGTACCGGCAACGGCAAAGGGTTGAAATTGTCATGTGTTGCTACACTTCAGCCAGCAGCTGGAGTTGTATTATCTTTCAGATAAGGCCGATATTAAGCTCCTGACCAGAACGGTTCATTTCTGTGTCCAAGGTGCTTTTCTGTAGGCTTACGAGTGTTACATTAGCCCTATGAGACCTACAGGCTTCCAAAGTGCATTCCACTTTCCAAAATTCTCCTCTCCTTTACTCCTGGCAGCTCTGGCTGTTTCCTGAGTGTTTAGCTCAAGTTTTACGTAGACCTGTTGCATGCTGGAGGAAAGGCTTCTGTCTCGCCATGGAAGTGGCTGCACTTAAAGAGGAAGACAATTTTCTGTATAAATGTAATTTAAAACTTTTCAAAAGCTTTGAAACCCGTTGGGATAGAAGTCTTCCCTAAGTGCTTGCAAGCTAAAGCCAAACACATTCCATCTGGAAATGTGAATGTTTAACCCTGAGGCTGGGAAGCCACTGGAGCAATCACCCTAGCGGCACAGTGGTTCTGCATCACTTGAAGGCCTTAAATTAGTCCTGGAGGCCTTTTCTAGACATACGCTGTAGTTCAGTGAAAAATGATGTGCTTGCAGCAGGAACAACCAGGCAAATCTCTACAGATTACGCTGTACAAAAGGGCCAAACTGTGTAATCATTGATAGCTCCACGCAGTCTTTGGAAATTCAGGAATCCTTAAAATATTCACTCACCTGTAATGAGTTATTAACCCACGGTATGTTTGGCGTTTTCTTCAGCTCATGCTATTTTACCAGCCTTCACGTCTTTAATGTTGAGCTTTGACAGGAAAACAATTTTTCTTCCCCATCTCTTTTTATTGATCTATTTTTCTGATTTTATCAGCCTGTAAATCTGTCAGTTCTGGTAGAGAATTTATATGAAAGAAACAGCTGGGGCTTGCGACTGCAGAAAAGATCGTTCTTTTATGCAGGAAAGCTCCCCGACTGTTCTTTCAACAATTTGATGTGAGTACTGGCAGCGAATGCAGAGCCAGGAGAGTCTAGTGCGTAAATCTACCTGTATTACAGCTTTGTGTTTTTCTTTTGCCGGGTGGAGGTCAGTCTTATCAAAATGGGTATCAATGCGGTACGCGAGTTGGCATTAGTAATTGCTGAACTTGGAACATTAACAACCAAGGGGTTGTTAATCAACAAGGGGATCAATCAAGGGGTCTTGATTCTGCAAACAGGGGACCAGTTTACAGCGGCATCAAGCAGACACGACTGGAAACAACAAAAAGTTGTTGTTGAAAGCAACACTTTTCACAGCACAGGTTTGGGTCTTTTTCCCTGACTTGTACTTAAATGTATAAAAAGACTTATTACAACCAACGCATGATAACACTAAGGAACAACATAAGTTCACTTGAATGACTCGGGGGGTGTGTGTGTGATTCCACAGAAATTAAAGCCGGTGGCTAAAGCAGCCTTTAGCCTGGGCTGCTGCGGTGTCACCTTCATCGGCAGCTGCAGGTTTCCCTCTTCGTGTCTCTTGCTGGTGACAGCAGTAGCAGTGTTTGCATGATGGGCCTTGGCTGAAGGAAGATCACTGTTTTGGTATGGTTAAGACCCATTTACTTTGTTTCCCTGAACCAGTGCACCGCACAGTTACCAGATTAGGTGCAGGAGGTCGGTGCAGAGGGAAACGTGGCTCAGGTACCCACAGCTTGCCTTCGCTGGACCTGCTGTGGAACTGCATCTCCCCTTTCCCAAAAAAAAGGTTCTTCAAGGCCTCCTAATTTAGCATTGCCCTGAGGCAGAGCCTTTGTGTGCTGCCTGACCTCCCTTGGAGGAAGGGTTTGCTTAACCTTGTCTCTGTCAGCCTCCCCTTCTTCTCCCTAGGCCAGGGCTGCGCTTCTCCTCCTGGCCTCGCGGTTAAAGCAATGCAGCATCTTTCCAGCCCCAGTTTAACGTTGATTAAGACTGGCAGTGGCGTTAGAAAATCTGCCTAAGAGAAAGCTGTAATCCGGGGAGAGTTGAAGTGTTTAAGACGGAAAATGAAGACGGGCTGCACTGCAGTACACAGGGTTTTGGTTACTGCTTTCACGCAGATTGCCTTCATGGGTAAGGATGAGCAGAAGTCAGTGTTACCTTGTGCCAATTAAATGAAACACTTTCACAGGGCGGTCACAAGAAGTACAAGTTAGAAGCCCTGAAAAAGAGCTGAAGAGGTCACTGAACCACACCACGGGTTTGTGTAATTGTTTCTGAAGTTACATACAGGAGGAAGAGGGAAGTGGAACCGTGTTCATGTGCAGGGCAGGACAAGATGCCACATGCTAGTGCTCCATGAACCAGCACTTGTTCAGAAACCTGTCAGATGCTCGATAGTGATCTGGCCTGTTGTGTGGGACAATAACGAGTGAAAATAACAGACTATTTGCCTCAACCCAGCTTCCAGTGTT